AACACACAAAGATTTACATTCACATGTGAGTGTTACATATAGAGCATTATATATACAGTACAGATATGCTTACATACAATATATATGTATATATATCATGATATACTTATTTATACACACACACACGTGTGCGCACACACACACACACACACACACACACACACACACGAGAGGGATTCAAAAAGTACATGGAAATTTCCCATTGTCCTTTCATTCCATATTCCCACAAACTTTGTGAAGCGCCCCCTGATGTGTGTGAGTGTGTGTGTGTGTGTGATTTTTAACCAACATGGAGTCCAATTTTTCCATCCCTCAGAGAATCTTCTCTTCAGACTGATAATTCCTGTGGAATAGTTAACGCTGTCCCTGCCAACTGCTGATTGTCTCCAAAACGTTTGTAAATAGAACAAAGAAATCAACTTATTTGGTCGTGGAAAGCTGAACAATGTAGAGATCCTGAGGTCACTATCACACGCAAACAAATGAGAGAGCAGAGAGTTTCAAAGGAAAGGGGATCAAAGCAGAAGTTGAGAGATAGCAGAAGTGATAGTGGCAAGATAAAAGGGTAGGGGCGAGGCTAGCCTGTCAATGAAGTCCCTCCTAGTGTTCATGGCCTTCTCCTTAAGAGAACCCTGAGAACCTCCCTCTCTCTCTTTTTCCCTTCACCTTCCTGCTGGTGAGCCACTCGGAGACCTGCTAGAACCACCACCATTGGATGCACAAGACTTTGCACCCATGGGCCTATGGTCTTCCTGCATTCTGCATCATTGCATGTGGCTATGGGAGTCTGAAGAGGGACTTATGGGCAAGCAATAGACTTATGGACTAGAGTTGCACAGGGCTGGGATGCTTTCCTGATATATAAAACTTCTTAACATAAAGCTCTTGCTTACATATACCTGAGTGCCACTGGATTTGTGTCTCAAGCCAGCCTGGCCGAACTCAGAGAGTACATGTTGAGAGCGAGGGAGAGAGAAGAAAGAGAGCCTAAAGGTTTCCTCCATGACTCAAATCCAGATACTAAGTGGGTTTTCTTTTTCTTTTTCTTTACATAAAGAGGATTTCTAGTTCTTGCAAATGAACAAACACCAAGACAGACATTAAAACAAAGTTTAAATCCCACCCCCACACACACAATGGCAGAGAAAGAGAGAGAACGGGACACGCATTCACCAGCCATATAAACATAGACTCACGCCGCTAGCCTTGCATGCTGGGATGGATTGGTGTTACTTTACTATGGCAGATAGGCATATCGACGTTGCCCTGAGGACTGTGAGAGAAATCAAATTGGGTGATGTAGGAGAGTGGACTATTTTGAGCTTGCACCCTAAAAGCAAAAACAGGAGTCACAGTAAAGACCCACAGGCATCTCAATCTGAATGCATCACACACACTACCCTCCTCATAATCATTGCTCTCCAAAGAACAGGCCTTGAGCTCCACAATGAAGCTTCTCACGGAGGCAGACAAGTCTCAAGGGCTTTGGGGGAAATACATCAATCACGTCATTCTTTTGTAAATGTAAGAAACATTAAGATGTTGGTGAGGCCCATGGCCTGTCATTACCATCAGTGGTAATATCTGTTTCTTGAGCTGTTCTCAGATTAGGATAATTTTATTTTTACAAGTACCATCTAATATATATTAATGAGGTAGGAAGTGTGGGGGAAGCAATTTTTCGAAAGAATGACAGAGAGACTAATCACTTCTCTATGGGATGCAAAAAGGAACAAACTTTATCAGAAACTGGAAAGGCAGGGAGGAGAAAAAAGTAGGAAGCCCATGGGTTCCATGCTCTGCCTTGAATGCCTGGGTAAACATTAAGGAGTGTTTTTACCATTCTTTATCTCACGTTCCTTGTATGTAAAAGGGAGACAATACTAATATCAATAAAACACTTGCCTAATTAGGTTATTTTATCAATTAGATGACAATTGCTTTGTACCTGGCATTTGGAATATCTTCAATACATTTAACTATAACTATTACCTTTGGTTGGTATTGTGGTTTAAACTTTTCGGTGATACTACTGGGTTAATTGAAATCCATCTTTCCGTTATTAGCGGGACACGAACCCCTTGTGCAAGACATGAAATATCTAAGCCTGTAAGTTGAAAGGATGAGTAACAAAACCCAGAAGTAGAGAGTAGTTTCAATGAAACATATACAACCAATATAAGTGAAAGCATTGCCTAAATCCCTAACAAGTGGTACAAATATAGAGACCATATAGAAGACAGAAGCCAAAGATGTCAGAACAGGGACTTGAACCCCGGGCCCTCAGATTAAAAGTCTGATGCTCTACCAACTGAGCTATCCAGGCACTCTAAATCCCAGATGAAAAAGACTATCTGTTAACTTATTAAACACATTCAGGCCTCATCCATATAATAAAACTTTCTGAGGACTTTTCCCAGGATTTGAAGCAAATGGGTCACATTTCCCTGAATCATCAGCTCACCTCTCTCAAGGTTTTACCCTAATAGCCATCCCACAATTTGTAGATGAGAATTCCCACATTTGTTTCTGAATCCATCTGTCAAAAGACAACTCAAACCTACTTCAGAATACAGGACCTACTTCAGACACGCAGGTCTTTTCCCATTGTGAAAGCATCCTTGTCCCTCCAACGTAACTGGTTTTCAGACCTTCCCAAATGTCTTTCCTCCAGGCTTCTCTGCATCACTGTATTCACTGAATCCCCAGGGTGACAGGTTCTGTTTAATTCCAGGAGCTGTGCCAGGAGTATAGCAGACCCATTGGTCTCCTGGTCTCTCATTCTAACACATAAGGGACTCATGCTTTGCCCATAGATCTTAGGGAGACATGTAGACTCCATATGAATTTACTCTGGCCTAGAGGTCCTGCATGATCCCCAACTTCATTTCCTTTAGAAGAAGTACAATCAGAATTCTTTTTAGAATCGAGGATGGGGGCTTCATCTCACATGCCTTTGACATGTCATCAGGAGGGACCAGTCTCTGGAAAAGTACAGTGATTTAAGCTGGGTTCTCTAGAAAAGCAAAACCAGTGATTTATATATGGAGAGAGGTGGAGGGGGGAGTGAGAAGGGGGAGAGAGAGATTTATATCAAGTAAAGAGTTCACACAGTTATAGAAACCAATAAATTCACTCTAGTTCAATTATGTGGCTCAGATGTTAAGCTGGATTCCTCTCCAGACTTGCATAGCTACCGGGGCTGACAAACCAGGCTGCAAAAAGAGGGACCAAGGAGATTCAAGGATGAGAAATGCCGAGGTAGATGAACAGAAGTCAGCAGATCAGCTTTGCGGATACAGAGTCCAATGAACCCCAGGTCAATCTCAGGTTAGCAAGTCAGATTTCAAATCAGATGGAAGATTGCTCATGATTCTCAAGGTCAGCAGTCAATATGGTGGGCCATTAGCTCAACTTCACAGGACAGGAGTTCGATGAAGCAGATACAGAATCCAGACCAACAAGAAGCAAACGCATACTTTCCACAGAATCCACTTACAAAAGAAATAGGTCACACCCCCCAGGAAACTTCGTAGGGCTGTGCCCCGAGTTAAAGAGCTGCACTCACCCAAGTGCTCCAGCAACTGATTGGCAGCTCACAGCAAATCTGATCATGGGGTTGATTGCATTATGTTAGGTCACATCATAAGGGATTACTAGGCCAACCCTGTGGGAATCCTGATCTAGCCAACTATCACAGACATCATGTGTCACAGGAGCCAGCCCCTACCAAATCATCACAGGCCCGGCAGGTGCAAATGGACAGCGATAATAAATAAAGATTATAGTAATGTCATAAAGAAAAGGAGAAATAGAAGAGAGTATGAAATAAAGGAGTCAGACACATCTTATGGTAGCACGCTCACCTCAGCTCCTCTTGGTGGTACATGTGGAGATGGGAGATGAGAGGGCAGGAGATGAGAGGGGGAGGGGAAGAAGGACAAGTGGAGAGCGAGGATGGGGGGGTTAGCGACTTACTGCTAATGAAGGCTTCTATATCTTTGGGGGGCGTGCAACCCCCCTAATTACAGGTAAAGACATACATCACAGGAAGGGGTTGTACTATAGGTAATACAGTAATGAGAGGGGGACAATCTAGGGGTCTACAGGCAATAGGAAGGGGAGGGATGGGGGGCACACAAGTGACAAGATGGGCGGATCTTAGATTCAGGATGGCAGCCTAACTTTGGATGTCACTGAGCAGGTTTGACCTGTTCTCTGGCTCTCCATGGGAACAATGACTATACTTATCAGTAGGGTGTGAGCCCCACTTACAGCGGACCAGACTGAGCATCTGACCTCCCACCATATGCTGGCAAATAGCCTCTAATGTTTGACCTATCTTTGGGGGAGAAAAAGCTGGGGGAAAGTCTTTTATATCCTACACTCATGCTTGGTGAAGTTCAACAACAACGAAGAAGGCCATCAGTGAAGTAGTGGCTGCAACAATGGGCTCAAGCATAACAATTGTGAGGAGGATGCAGGACCGCGGTGTTTTGTTTTGTTGTCCAAAAGGCTGCTGTGCGTAGAAACCGATGAGATGGCACTTCACAACAATAACCTCATCACCTGTCATTCCTCCTGCCTCTCATTTAGCTCCACCACCCTAGCATGCCTGCTATTCTAGACAACATAAGTCATTCCCCACCGTCAGAGCCTCGGTCTTGTCTGTTCCCTCTGCCCAGCATATTTTTGCTTATACTCTTTGGAAAGCGGACCCCTTCTTGCCATTCAGGTGCTGCTTTGAATCACATTCATTTTTAGCATCTGTGCTAGAGTGATTGTGGTCACCCCAGGGCCCAAATCTCTACCTTCCCTTCTAAAATTGATAACGTTTCCTAAGTTCCCCTGTTCAGTATGTTTCTGGGTTAGGCTTTGCAAAGGAAGGAAATGCCAGCAAGATATGAAAGGCAGAAGTCACTCTTCCTGGGAGGCTCTGAAGGTCAGACAGGGACGTTTTCTCAGACAAGACAATTTCATCAATTGCCAATCCATAAATCCACGCCACAGCCCTACTTTGATATGTAGCCACTTCTCAGACTCTTCCCTTCCTCTGATTGAATTGGCGAGTGGTTGCTTCCCTGATTCTCCTGCATACTCTGATTGTAGAGTTAAAGTTTGGCAAACCTTCCCTCTCCCAGCTCCTTCCACGTGGCCCCTGATTCCTACCGTTTTCTGCTGTGCTGAAACTCTAAGCAACCACTCTGAAACAGCACCTGTTATCCCTCCACGTCACCGCTCTCTTTTAACTCGCTCGTTCCCTCATGGAACCCTGGTGGCGTAGTGATTAAGCACTAGGCTGCAATCCTCTGCAACCATCAGCCCTTCTGCGGAGAAAGGCTGGGCTTCCTACTCCCTTACAGAGTTAGAGCCAGTTCTCCCCTGTCCTATAGGGTCGCTATGAGTCGACATCCACTCGATGGCGGTGAGTATGGATTTTACTTCAAATCACTGATACTTTCCTCTTGCATCTACTTATCTATTCCTGACTCCATCAAGGCCCCACCTCAAGTTACAAGATAAGAGCAGGAACTCTGACCGTTGTAATCACTGTGATAAACTTAGAGGAGCCCTAGTGGCACAGTGGGTCACACACTGGGCTGCTAATCATAAGGTCAGCAGTTCCAAACCACCAGTTTCTCCTTGGGAGAAAAACTAAGCATTCTACTCCCAGAAACAGTTACGGTCTTGGAAACCCGCAGGCTCAGTTCCACCCTGCCCTATTGGGTTGCTGTGAGTCAGACTCAACTCTTTGGCAGGGAGTATAAACCCTATGGTGTAGTTCTACTCTGTCACAGGGCGTCACTATGAATCAGAATTGACTCAAGAGCATCCAACAAAACACTGGCGTACCTCCCAGGCGGGGTTTGGATGGTACAAACCATTCACACACTCAGCAGCTAACCAAAAAGTTGGATGTTTAAATCCACCCAGAAGCACCTCAAAAGAAAGGCCTGCCAATCTACTTCCCCCAAACTCGCCATTTAAAACTCAATGGAGCACAGTTCTCCTCTGACACACAGGGTTCACTGTGAATCCAAGTTGACCACAACTGGTTTTCTACCTTCAATGCATGTGTTATAAAGCAGCCCTACCATTGCATATGATTTTAGGAGCTTTATAATTACAAAAGTAATCAAATCGAAGTACAGGAATAGTAAAGAAATCATTACCTGAGAATCCCACTAAACAGTAGTTACTTACGGAGGATAAATTCGTAATGGTAACCCATGGGCTCCGACCCACAAGGTCAGCAGTTTGGAACCACCTGCTGCTCCTCAGGAGATTAGGCTTTCTAATTCTGTAAAGAGTTACAGCCTTGGAAACCCACAGAAGCAGTTCTGGTCTGTTTGATAAGGTCACTCTGGGTCAGAATCGACTTGATGGAAATTAGTTTGTTTTTGTGTTGTTTTGTTTTTAGTATGCAATGAAAGGATAATTTAGTACTTATTGAGCACCTACTACGTGCCTATCAGAAACAGTGTCAGGCACTTTATATATATATATATATATATATATATATATATATATATAAATATGTGTGGATTTTGAGTTTTCACTTAGTCATAGGTATAATACAAAACAATTAAT